AAGTCTATCTACAATATTAATTAACACACCACTGCAGAATTACTCTTAGAAGAATTGTTCGAAGATATAACTAGAGCAGTTTTTGTTGGTAACTTCCGGAAAACTGGATCTGTTGTATATTGTAATTCAGTTGTGTACCAAAAGATCTTAGCTTGTTCATTTCTTAGTGTCCCTTTTAAAATGATCTCAAGGCTCTAATTTGGCAGAGGATTACTTATTCTCAAAAAAAGGAGAAGATAAATGGTGTGATAATAAACTTTTTGTTTTGTTCATGTTGTAGCATTCTTTTGTGTGATTTTAGGGCCTGTGGACCAAGTAACTCTGCCTTTTAACTCTTAGGAGTGCCTCTTGTATGTATGTAAACATTTATTTGTAGTGTTTTGGCTTTGTGCTTATTTACATTTCATCAGAAACACATCTTAAGCCACTCAAGCAATTAATGATTTTCATTGGGTCTAATTTTTTAATCTTTCTTATTACTATGTATTCAGACTTTCTTGCTGTAATGGGATGTGTTGACTCTACTAGGTAGATGTATTCATTCAACTTTGTCATTCTGGAGAAGATGGGAAAACAGAACATTAGAGTGTCATATAATCAGCATATTATTAGTTGACAGTCTGGACAGTGTCTTTGGATTAAAGCATGAGCTGTAAAATTAACTGGTACCATATAGTCATATCCTTGGAGATGATAATGTCTGAAACCTGTTCAGGATAAATGCCCTGTGCTTTAACATGTTATTTCGGGCAACTCCATAAAGAAGAAAGTGAGGTTTTGAACTGGTGGTGATTTTCAGAAGGATAAAAATATACAAATCACCTGTATATTTCATTATAATAGATTTGGTTAGCTATTCTACTGCTTTCAATTCAAGTCTTCAAGGGGCAGCAGCCAAAAGGATTGTAAATTGAATATGAGAATTGAAGTGTTTTTTCCAGAGAGTGTGACCTTGAAGGTCATTGCTAGGAATGAAAGTCTTCTAAATAGTAATTTAGTTACCAGGAGGAAGTCACTGTACTCAGAAGTGCTGTCTTTCTTTGGTTCTGGAACTAGGAAAGTGAGTGAAATTAGAGAAATCATTCAAGGGGACAAGGAAATGTGTGAGAGTCCTCCTAAAAAACCTCTATCTGTGATACTCCACTCCCAATGAGTATCTAGATTTCCTTCTAGCGTTCTTTTTTTACAGGACAATTTTTATTTTATTCATATCCACTGCTCCAGCTTGCTACTTTTTTAAAAAAAGAAAAAGTGAGGTCAAATTTATGCCCTCAGAATTTCTGTGTATATGATAGGGGTAGCTTATAAATCAGGTTTTATAGCCAGATAGTAAATCTTGCCCTGTGAAGTGCTGCTAGGATGTGATTATCTCTGAAATATATAAAGTAAGAGAATACCTTTTTCTCTTTATAATCTGCCAGGAAGTAATGTTTTGATTGTATCATCCTGCCCAACTTTGATTTTTCTTTCGCAGCTCTTGGGACTTCTATAAATTCAGTCGGCAGAGTGATTAGTACTCAGACACTAGAATCAGATACAGGCCATGCGTTCGTATTCAAGCATTTTATCTTTTTGGGCTGTATTGATTAAGCGAGTCACTGAGTTCCTCTAACTCTGTTTATAAATTCATTTTTAAAACCTGTTTCCTTATCTGTAATAGGTAGATTTTGATAGCCGCTACATTAGAGTTGCTTGAGGGTAAATGGCATGGTAAGTGTTCAATAAATTTTAGCTATTGCTGTCTTTTGTTTCTTTGTCCAATTCTTTTAGGTATAGTGTAAGGTAAGTCAAAACACAAGTTGCTTATGTTAAAAAAAATTCAGCAGACTTCAGGGGTCCACTTGGAGCTGTCAAATTGAAGGGAAGTGTGTAGTTACGGCAGAGAAAGATTTTTTTAGTATTGAGTGTAATTTGATTTATACACAAACATATGTGTGCATGCTTTTGCATGTATGTATATATTTGTGTTTAGTGTCTATAAAGGATACATATTACATTAGGTCTACAGGGGTGGAGGTGAGATAGGAGGAGAAATGTTTAGTTGCAGTCTCCCAAAGACCAGAATTGACTGTAATTGGGAGGTAAGATGAACTAAAAACAGTTTGGTTTTTTTTTTTTATGTTACGGGATGTATTCCTTTGTAGCATAGATGCAAGGACAAGTGAGTTGTCCTATATAATCCAGCTATACTGTCTTGAAGTTAATGTTTGCCTCCTTGAGATTCAGTGTGCTAGCTCATTTTAAGTTTCCGTTAATGTAAGAGAAGCATGGCTTCCTGACCAGGAGAACTCTAAGCAACCCTTTATGGATCCACCTCAGTATGTTTCTAAAAATCTAGCAGTCTGAATGTGAAGATTAGGAGATGAAAATGGAAAGGTATTAATAGAATAGAAGGGATTTTAAAGGAATAGTGGTACAGTTTTGTTCAGTTCAGTCACTCAGTCGTGTCTGACTCTCTGTGACCCCATGAACCTCAGCACGCCAGGCCTCCCTGTCCATCACCAACTTCCGGAGTTTACCCAAACTCATGTCCATTGAGTCGGTGATGCCATCCAACCATCTCATCCTCTGTCGTCCTCTTCTTCTCCTGCCCTCAGTCTTTTCCCAGAGTCAGAGTTTTGTTATTGGGGTGCATCTCTTCTGGTCAGCCATTGGCTCCGTGACCATTTGGCAGTTACCTCTTTTCCCAGTGCAGACTTTTCTGAAGATAATCCTGTAATCTGATCTCTGGATCTTTTAATCAGGTTTAGTTTTCCCTGTTTCTTTTCTTATTTTAATGGGATAAGTGGAAGTTGCCTCTTTTACCACCAGACCGTACACTTCATTAGCTGCGTTATATCCTTGGTTTAATTTCCAATTATGTATGATGATAGCAGAGGAATTATAAATGGTTCCTCCTGTTCAGTATTCTTCTGTTCTCTTTCCTCTCCTTTGCTTTTTGTAATTCCCCCAATTCTCCCCTTTTCTTTTACGTTTCCTGTTAACAGACCTTATATTTGAATTTTTTAACAAGAAAAAGAAACTGGCAGAAAGTCAGTGACAGGACATTTGTTTTGGACTAACTGGTCAAGAGTGGGCATGTGTTGACAGCAAGAAAGGAAAATAGGTATTTGGTCTTCCAGTGTGACATTTTGATCCTTTATCATCCAATATATCAGGCTTATTATACAGGGAAAATATGTCTTTTCCTTGCATGTAAAGCACTGAGATGATGGAGATTATTTTATTTTATTTTATTTTTATTTTTTTTTTATTTTTTTCATTAGTTGGAGGCTAATTACTTTATAATATTGTAGTGGGTTTTGTCATACATTGACATGAATCAGCCATGATGGAGATTATTATTTCACTCTTCATGCTTTTTAATTTTCATGAAAGTCTTTGCTTAATGGTATGGTTGGTAAACAAAAATTGTCAGAAAAGAACCTCATGCATGCTGCCATGTGATAGGTGAACTAGATAATCCTTCATGGTTTGTCTTAATAACAAGAAAATATTATATCCATAACCATACTTACCAAGTGAACCATTGGTTTCTTCATCTTGGAATTTTTTGACCTGATCACTAGATTATAGCCGAAGGTGATTACTGTTTGTGGCATCATTATCTTTTACATAATAATGGGTACTGTCAGAAGTATATTATTTCATTAAAAAAAATCATCTTTTCTAGAATTCAATCTTCTAGGTAAAATGCTGGGATAATTTGCAGATTACTCAAGTGATGTAGATGTTAAAATCAATAGCTTGGGACTTCACTGGTGGTACAGTGGTTAAACTCCTCGCTTCCAATGCAAGGGGCGTGGGTTCAATCCCTGCCCGGGAAACTTAAGATCCCACATGTTGTTACCACCTTAACTTTGCTTAAAGCTTTTAGAAAGCACTTATATGTTATCTGATTTTATCCTCAAACTGAAGCTCATCTCTGAGGTGGATTAAATTATCTCTAGTTTTTAGTTGAGGAAATGGAACTTTACAGAGTTTATGTGCTTTCCCAACATCATGTTACAGTGAACTAGTGTTTTAAGGTCACAGTTTCTTATTCTGACACTTAAAGGGAGTTGGACTATAAAGAAAGCTGAGTGCCAAAGAATTGATGCTTTTGAACTGTGGTGTTGGAGAAGACTCTTGAGAGTCTCTTGGACTGCAAGGAGATCAAACCAGTTAATCCTAAAGAAAATCAGTCCAGAATATTCATTGGAAGGACTGATGCTGAAGCTGAAACTCCAATATTTTGGCCACCTGATGCGAAGAACTGATTCCTTGGAAAAGACCCTGATGCTGGGAAAGGTTGAAGGCGGGAGGATCAGGGGATGACAGAGGATGAGATGGTTGGATGGCATCACCAACTCAATGGACATGAGTTTGAGCAAGCTCTGGGAGTTGTTGATGGACAGGGAAGCCTGGCGTGCTGCAGTCCATGGGGTCACAAAGAGTTGGACACTACTAAGAGTCTGAACTGAACAGATCACCTCCCTATCTCCCATACACCCATAAAATTATTTGGCCTAGATTCTTCTTTTTGTTGCCTAATATACATTTCAAAATTAAAATTCACTGCTTTTTTTTTTTTTTGGCCACGAGGCATGAAGAATCTTAATTCCCCAACAGGGATTAAACCCATGCCCCTTGCACTGGAAGCGCAGAGTTCTAACCATCGGACTGCCAGGGAAGTCCCTAAACTTGACTGCTTTTATAGCTGTTCATTTGTCTTAGTTTTATTGATGGTTTGAGTACTGTTAAAATTAATGTTTTAGTAGTAAACCATCAGTGACTCTCTGCTAATATGTGAATTGTTTTAATTCTGGGTTGCCTGACCACAAGGAAGCTATATAAGCCATCATTAGTGGTATAATACATATTTTGAAAGCAGTTTATCTTTTTGTATATGACTAGGTAAAATGTTCAGGAACAGTTATGAATTAAGATCTTTGAAGTGATTGAGAGAAATAATTGTACTGTTCTTGACAAATCAAGGTCATATCTGCTTCTTTTTCCAGGTGGTGGCTAATGCTGTAGCAGCACTATCTGAAATCAGTGAATCTCACCCCAACAGCAACTTACTCGATCTGAATCCACAGAACATTAATAAACTACTGACAGCCCTGAATGAGTGCACCGAATGGGGCCAGATTTTCATCCTGGACTGCTTATCTAATTACAATCCTAAAGATGACCGGGAGGCTCAGAGGTCAGTCTGTTTCTCTGGGTAGCATGTAGGAGTCTTGCCTGGTTCAGTAAGTTCTAGTGTGTCTGTATTAGAATAAGGGTCTGTTATGTTAGGAATAAGGAAAACAGTGACTTATGGGATAGATATTGCTATCCCTGTGGTATTTTCTCTTTGTAATTAGGAACATTTTAGGTAGCAGAGTCAGCCATGCAAAAATAGGCGTTGCTAAGAGGAGATGTGTATCTGCCATTTCTTTTCTGAGCAGTACACTTAAAACAGTCTACAAAAATCGCCCTTAGCACCTTCTCACATCTCCCATACAGCAGTTCTTAGCCACTTGGCAAAGGTTTGTGAGTGTCTCTCATTTTAGTGACCATTCTCATTCTTTAAGATACTTAGTATGTGGCTTGATACTAGTTAGTGAGGTGCCTTATACCTGTAATTTAGTACTAGAGAAAGTGGATGGGAGCCTGCAGTAAGTATAATGTCTTCCATTAGGTATGGAAATTATATATTTGGAGAAGATTTGAAAGGCACACCTGAATTGTTCTGCTTAGCTCTCTACCACTTTAGTGTTGGAAGGCTTTTTTGGCTTTCAGATACTGACTGCTAAATTTCATGTACATATACATACATTCTGGTGTACAGAATTGGAGTTATATCAATTTTTATTGAGCATTTTGTGCATATAGGCACTGTAATTCTGGCAAAGTAATTCTGAAGAATTGTTGGCTCATTTTAACCATGGTAGGTAGTAAGTAACCTTCCTTGCCTGGCTGAAGCTCGAGCTGCTATAATATAAATGTTCTTCACTTGTCTGGGAAATTGTTCCCTCTGGATTTTATCAAAACTCACCCTGATAGTTTCTTTCCATCACTGAAAGTACAAATGTCTCCTGGAAAGAACTTTACATACAATTTTATTTTCTCTTGGTCATTGACATCTCACACTTACTCACTCAGCAAATGTTTTTTTTGAGCCCATGCTGTGTGCCAGGCATTGTTCTAGTCTCTGAGAATACAGCACTGGACAGACTAAAATCATAGCTCTTACGGAAAATCTATTCTGAGGCATAGAGCAGAAATATATATAATATGTGTGTATAATCCAACATATAATAGGTCAGATGATGATAAGTGCTAACAAGAAAAATAAAGTAAAGAAGAGAGCTAAGAAATATTGGGTGATTAGGTAAGGCCTCCTTAAGAAGGTGGCATTTGTAAGAAGACCTAAAGAAGGGCAGGACGTCTGCTGAGTAGATACAGGAAGAAGGGAGAAAAACACAGCTTAACTTAATCTCATATCCTTAACTGAGTCAGCTAGTCAATCATGTTGCCTAAGAGCTGTCAAAATTAGGTTAATTTCTGGAGAACCCTCAACAGATAATTAAATATCCTATATTTTATGAGACATTTAAGTATATCGTGACTGAGATGAGGAGAAGGGGATGACGGATGAATATTGCAGTGGTATTGTTGGTTTCTTTTTTGGTATTGTTAAACAATCAAAAACCCTCTCCAAGATGAATGGTTATTGTTAACAGCCAAAAACCCTCTTCAAGATTCCCTTATTATCCTGAAGACAACAGGTTGGGTAGTTTTCCCTGTCAGTCCATCTCCTCCTGCATCTTATAATGAAACTTCAGCCACAGTTGGTTGATATCTTTCATTATGAAATAAGTCTCAGAATACTTAATTTGACTTCCTATAGGTTGAGGAGAAATGGGCTGAGTCAGGGAGCCCTTACATAATATGGGGAGACAGAGAGAGCTATAAAACAGGAAGGTAAATGGTGTGAGCTTCAAGTGTTTGGGGTATTGGCTATTTTCCATTTTGAACGTCCCTTATTGCTGGTTTCCTAAAGTCTTGTATCCCTGCTCTGCCTGTAGTTTGTTGGGAATGAGGCGTCTGCAGTGTTGAATTCCAGATTTACCTACGCATGGAGTTTTGACTTTTCTAACTGATTCTCTAATTTCTTGATACTTGGGCAATGGGACCTCTGACAGCATTACCGTATAGATTGGATTGAGCACAGAAATTGTCATTTCAGGTACTAATTTTCATTTCCTGCCCTCAGCATCTGTGAGCGGGTAACTCCCCGGTTATCTCATGCCAACTCAGCAGTGGTGCTTTCAGCAGTAAAAGTGCTAATGAAATTTTTAGAGTTGCTACCCAAGGACTCTGACTACTACAACATGCTGCTGAAGAAGTTGGCCCCGCCACTTGTCACGCTGCTGTCTGGGGAGCCAGAGGTGCAATACGTCGCCCTGAGGAACATCAACCTAATTGTCCAGAAAAGGTTGGGGAAAAAATGAATTGGTGATTAAAGTGTTTGTAATTTTGAATTAAGCTTAATGATATCAGTATTTGAAAGGACTGTGTTAAGCTTTGTTTAATGTGTAGAAATAAAAATATTGTATGGTAGAGCAACTTGCCCAGGGTCAGGAGGCTGGCGGTTGATTTTAGAGTGTTCCTGCAGTGAATGAACACAGTGAATGCCTGGTGTTGCTTTATAATTTAGTTTCTTTTCTGAAGGACCTGTTAGTATGCTTGCTAGTGTCTGTTTAATATGGTTCAGGCCATGGTTTGGATCAGGTTGTTCTTCCACTGATTCTTCTTGGCAGTATATACTTTGCCCCCTTAAAAAGCATAAAAATAGTCTGCTAAGCGGATCTGGTTAGAGGGGTGTAGAGGAAGATTCTGAGTTTTTTCTTTTCCCTGAGTGGGGTGCGTGGATGGAGAGGATAGAAGCACAGGTTGGGTATTAATGCAGACTCAGAAAGATATATCAATATATACCTCACCTTCCTTACCTTGTATTCCTATACATCACAGGCCTGAAATCTTGAAGCAGGAGATCAAAGTTTTCTTTGTGAAGTACAATGATCCAATCTATGTGAAACTAGAGAAATTGGACATCATGATTCGTTTGGCATCTCAAGCCAACATTGCTCAGGTCAGACTTAAAGTAGATTCAAGTGAAGGTCTAGTAACTTAGATCTTAAGAGCTGATCTTCAGAAAAGCCTGGACCTGCAAATTGTTGTTGCAGAATCCTTAACGTTGTTCACTTCTTGGATGTTTAACAGGTTCTGGCTGAACTGAAAGAGTACGCCACAGAGGTGGATGTTGACTTCGTGCGCAAGGCCGTGCGAGCCATTGGGCGCTGTGCCATCAAGGTGGAGGTGAGCGTCCTTGGTGGCATGGGGCTCTGGGCATTCTCTTCCCTAAAATACGCCTTCAGTTTATCAGAGTAGTAGAGCACATTGGTAGAGTATTAAAGAGTTTCTAACGAGGAGCAGCTATCCCTGATCTCTTTCTTTCCTGAGGGAATCATTTTTAACTCTGTTCCTAGTTATAGTTAGTTACTTTAATTACTTCCATATCTCTGCTTTTATTTATTGATTTGCCATTTGTAGCCATTTTCTGTTAACTTTCTGTTATGAGATAAATTAGTTCATATACTCCATCACGCCTATTTCTCCCCTTCGGTTCTCCTGTGTAGTTAACATGAGGTTTTTGTTCCTGTATTATCTTTGTAAGTTGAGATACCTTTATTTCTTGTTCTATCAACTAGAGACTTGGAAAACTTACTATGCATATTATGCCTATAAATAAGTAGAAACTACACAATACAAATGATTGTATTTTCTTTCTTATAGAGACTTGGTTTTTTTTCCTGAAGTTTATAATGGCTTTTTTTCCCTTTTTTTAAATTTCATTATGTCTTCATTGCATTCCTATCTTCTTCCAGCTTTTCAAGCATAATATCAAATTTATAAAACTTTTCCTTTGTTCTCGGCCCTTCTGTCTTCCAGTCCTCTGTCTTTCAAGTGCTTGTTCCAGTCTGACTGTCTGCTTTCTTATTTTCTGCACAACCATTTTTTCTATACAGCCTCCCTTCATTGCTCTTTCTTGTTGTCAGTACTTTTTCATAGCATTCTTTTTTTGTGGTTGCAATAGTTTCTTAAGTCTCTGGGGATGTGAATTATAGTTTTGGTTTTCTACAGTTTGAATTATCTCAAATATTTTACAGTGATGGTTGCATGTCTATATATGGTTTTTTAATTAAGATGTATAAGGTGGTGCTAGTAGTAAAGAACCAGCCTACCAATGCAAGAGATGTAAGAGACGCAGGTTCGATCCCTGAGTTGGGAAAATCCCCTGGAGGAGGGCATGGCGACCAACTCCAGTAGTCTTGCCTTGAGAATCCCATGGACAGAGGAGCCTGGTAGGCTACAATCCATAGAGTTGCACAGAGTTAGACATAACTGAAGTGACTTAGCACACACATACCATGTATATAGTAAACGGGTGCCCACTTATATTAAGAATGAAATAACAGGAAAGTTGTCAGGATTTCTGTGCATGTAGGTAGGGCTGTTGACTAGCAAGTTTCTGCTTTAGGACAGGGAGTTGATTGTTACTTGTTAAGTCCTCTGGAAGAGTGTCTCTGTGGTCTTAGGGGGCAGATTTTTTTCTAGCTTGATTGAAATGTTCCAGTAGATATTAAGGATTGCAACTGAAATTACGCTGCTTCATCAGTTACTTTTCCTCACTCAGAAATTTGTGAAATTAATGATGGCTTCTATTGACAGTGATATTGTAGATTCACAGTTCCATATTTGTTCTTACTACTGGACTGTATGCAGTGCTTTGAGTCAGATTGGATCATATGATTTCACAAGGATAGTTCTAAAACAATTTGTACAGTACGACCAGTGCTTCATAGGATCAGAAGGAAACAGATGCTGTGTCAGAGAAAAGTGTCTCTGAAAGCCAAGTTCCTAATTGGCCTTCCTTATTTTTATTTTTGTCAGTGCTGTTTCATATAGTTACCACTGATAAGTCATTTAGTAGACTAGTTGTTATAACAATAAGTTAATTCATACTGGTTTCTACTCCTGGTTCTGCCAGTTCAGAAGCTTCAGATATTTAATATACATGCTTCTGTTGCTCCATTTGAGAAATGGAAAAGTCTGTTTATTGGATCTTGGTGTGTTCCGTCTTTTTTTTTTTTTTACCACCACACTTCACATACTCAACTTTTGTCTTTTTCTTTTCTCACTGAGCAGTAGCCACCTGCTTATGGTACTAATGTAGACAATTTTCAGAACTTTTCTAATGGCAGAAGAGTCGTTTTGTGCTTTTCACTTCCTGAATATCATTGCCTTATTAACCTCTCTGACAGTACTCTCTAAAAAGTCTCATTCCAAAGTTAAAAGAGATTTTTTTTTTAATCCCTGGAATTACTGGAAAGTGTTCTTAAAGCCTCTAGATTCTTAGAGGCTGTTAGTACTGTTTACGGTGACTAACAGGAAAGTTATCCATCATTTTCTGAAAGAGATGAGCTTCTGGTGGCTCTTACTTCTTCCTTTGACTCAAGATGCCCTGGTGGGAATATGAGAGTGTGTGAGCAACGAACTTCCTCTGGAGGCTTAAGATCAGCCTTCAAGAATCCTGCCTTTTTGCTAATGTTCCCTTATCTCAAGTTACTTGGATTTGCTTGAGAACTTTTCCTAGAACTGTTTCAATCATGAAAGTTATTAGTTGGAAAGAGTTGCCTAGTCCAGACACAGTTACTGGGGCAGGAGAGGTCATGACTGCTTGTGTTTAACTGGCCTATCTGGGCCAAGGGCAAGAACCAGTGACCCAGTTGTAATAGACTTTCTCTGTAGCTTATAGACAGCTGCTGCTTCCTCTCAGTGCACCTGACCATTTTTTAACGTGGATCTAGTTTCAAGGATATGACAGATGAGAAAAAAAGAATTTTGGTTTGGTGCTTAGCTAAGAGAACAGGGCCTATTGTAAACTTTGGGTATTGTTAAGAGTTGCAGTGGTTTTTTTTTCAATCATGACTTTAGGTACAGATGTCTTTCTGTTGCTTTAAGTAGCCTGAGGTGAAAAAACTAATTTTGTCATATTAAGTTGTTTAGGTTAAAGGTTAAGCATAAGTTGTTGAGTCAGTAAATAGCACTGAAAAAGAAATCTCATAATACTATTTTTTTTAATGCTTTTTGTCTATACTTTTTTTACTTAATTGCCTTTTTAATAGATTTTACTCCATACACCACCCTTCTCCCAGTTTTATTGAGGTATGATTGACAAATCATAGCTATATATATTTACAGTATGCACTTGTTTCTTTAAGGAGGAAATAAACACTGGCCCTCCTTTTCTTTTACAAATAAAATAATTTTGTTTGAGAGCGATTTATTTGTTTGATTTTGGTTTTGAGAGATTAAGTCATTAAGACACCACCATTATGGCAGAAAGCAAAGCACTAAAGAGCCTTTTCAAGAAAATTAGAGATACCAAGGGAACATTTCATGCAAAGATGGGTTCAATAAAGGACAAAAATGGTATGGACCCAACAGAAGCAGAAGATACTAAGAAGAGGTGACAAGAATACACGGAAGAACTGTACAAAAAAGATCTTCACGACCCAGATAATCACGATGGTGTGATCACTCACCTAGAGCCAGACATCCTGGAATGTGAAGTCAAGTGGGCCTTAGAAAACATCACTATGAACAAAACTAGTGGAGGTGATGGAATTCCCGTTGAGCTATTTCAAATCCTGAAAGATGATGCTGTGAAAGTGCTGCACTCAATATGCCAGCAAACTTGGAAAACTCAGCAGTGGCCACAGGACTGGAAAAGGTCAGTTTTCATTCCAATCCCAAAGAAAGGCAATGCCAAAGAATGTTCAGACTACTGCACAGTTGCACTCCTCTCACATGCTAGTAAAGTAATGCTCGAGATTCTCCAAGCCAGGCTTCAGCAATATATGAACCGTGAACTTCCAGATGTTCAAGCTGGTTTTAAAAAGGCAGAGGAACCAGAGATCAAATTGCCAACATCCCCTGGATCATCGAAAAAGCAAGAGAGTTCCAGAAAAACGTCTATTTCTGCTTCATTGACTATGCCAAAGCCTTTGACTATGTGGATCACAGTAAACTGTGGGAAATTCTGAAAGAGATGGGAATGTCAGACCACCTGACCTGCCTCTTGAGAAACCTGTATGCAGGTCAGGAAGCAACAGTTAGAACTGGACATGGAACAACAGACTGGTTCCAAATAGGAAAAGGAGTACGTCAAGGCTGTATATTGTCACCCTGCTTATTTAACTTCTATGCAGAGTACATCATGAGAAACACTGGGCTGGAAGAAGCACAAGCTGGAATCAAGATTGCCGGGAGAAATATCAATAACCTCATATATGCAGATGACACCACCCTTATGGCAGAAAGTGAGGAGGAACTAAAAAGCCTCTTGATGAAAGTGAAAGAGGAGAGTGAAAAAGTTGACTTAAAGCTCAACATTCAGAAAACTAGGATCATGGCATCTGATCCCATCACTTCATGGCAAATAGATGGGGAAACAGTAGAAACAGTGTCAGACTTTATTTTTGGGGGCTCCAAAATCATTGCAGATGGTGATTGCAGCCATGAAATTAAAAGATGCTTACTTCTTGGAAGGAAAGTTAGGACCAACCTAGATAGCATATTAAAGAGCAGAGACATTACTTTGCCAACAAAGGTCCATCTAGTCAAAGCTGTTGTTTTTCCAGTGGTCATGTATTGGATGTGAGAGTTGGACAGTGAAGAAAGCTAAGTGCTGAAAAATTGATGCTTTTGAACTGTGATGTTGGAGAAGACTCTTGAGAGTCCCTTGGACTGCAAGGAGATCCAACTGGTCGATCCTAGAGGAGATCAGCCCAGGGTGTTCATTGGAAGGACTGATGTTGAAGCTGAAACTCCAGTACTTTGGCCACCTCATGCGAAGAGTTGACTCATTGGAAAAGACCCTAATGCTGGGAGGGACTGGGGGCAGGAGGAGAGGGGGATGGCAGAGGATTAGATGGCTGGATGGCATCACCAACTCGATGGGCATGAGTTTGAGTAAGCTCTGGGATTTGGTGATGGATAGGGAGGCCTGGCGTGCTGCGATTCATGGGGCCACAAAGAGTCGGACACAACTGAGCGACTGAACTGAACTGAAAGAGCCTCTTGAAAGTGAAAGAGGAGAGTGAAAAAGTTGACTTAAAACTCAACATTCAGAAAACCAAGATCATGGCATCTGGTCCCATTACTTCATGGCAGATAGATGGGGAAGCAATGGAAACAGTGACAGACTTTATTTTCTGGGCTCCAAAATCACTGCAAATGGTGACTGCAGCCATGAAATTAAAAGACGCTTGCTCCTTAGAAGAAAAGCTATGACCAACCTAGACAGCATATTAGAAAGCAGAGAGATTACTTTGCCAGCAAAGGTCTGTCTAGTCATAAGTGTGGTTTTTCCAGGAGTCCTGTATGGAAATGAGAAAGTGAGTGAAGTCACTCAGTTGTGTCCGACTCTTTGCAACCCCAGGGAGTGTAGCCTACCAGACTCCTCTGTCCATGGGATTTTCCAGGCAAGATACTGGAGTGGGTTGCCATTTCCTTCTCCAGGAGATCTTCCCAACCCAGGGATTGAACCCGGGTCTCCTGCATTGTAGGCAGACGCTTTACCGTCTCAGCCACCAGGGATGAGAGTTGCACTATAAAGAAAGCTGAGTGCTAAAGAATTGATGCTTTTGAATTGTGGTGTTGGACTCTTGAGAGTCCCTGGGACTGCAAGGAGATCCAACCAGTCCATTCTAAAGGAGATCAGTCCTGAATATTCATCGGAAGGATTTATGCTGAAGTTGAAGCTTCAATACTTTGGCCACCTGATGCGAAGAACTGACTCCTTGGAAAAGACCCTGATGTTGGGAAAGACTGAGGGCAGGAGGAAAAGGGGATGAGAGAAGATGAGATGGTTGGATGGCTTCACCTACTCCATGGACGTGAGTTTGAGCAAGCTCCAGGAGTTGTTGATGGACAGGGAAGCCTGGCGTGCTGTGGTCCATGGGCTTGCAAAGAGTTGGACACGACTGAGCGACAGCTGAACTGATCTGAAGTCGCTAAGTTAAGATTAAGGTGTTTCTCGCTTCCTTGTCTTTAATTTTAGCTGCAGTGGGTCTTTGTTACTGTGTGTAGGCTTTCTCTAGTTGCAGCGAGTAGTGGCCACTCTGTATTCACAGTACTTGGGCTTCTCGTTGCAGTGGCTTCTTTTGTTGTGGAGTACAAGCTCTAGGGCGTGTGAATCATTTCTGATTTGTGTAGGTCAGGATAAGGTACTAACTTATGTCTTATATAAACAAAAAGCATGTATTTACTCCATCAAGTCATCAAATAATAGAAGTTAAAAGTAGAACACTGCTTTCTCCTATGCCTATTCTTCCCTCCCAGAGGTGACGTGGACATAATTTAAGTTCCCCTGAATCTCCAATTTTCTTGAAGAGATCGCTAGCCTTAACCATTCTTTTGTTTTCCTCTGTTTGCATTGTTCTTTTAAGGCCTTCTTCTCTCCCCTCGCTATCCCCTGCAGTTCTGCTTTCAGTTGCTTATATCTTTCCCTCTTTCCCTTGCCTTTGGCTTCACTTCTTTCCTCAGCTTGATGCATGGAAGTTCACACTTCCTTGTGAGTTCTGTCCATTTTCTTTCAATAATGTCTTCAGTGGCACACCCAGAAATTTATGGTTCACCTCAAAAGTTATATAACATTCACCATTATTTTCTGCTTTAATGGAAATGGTTTGGTTAAAGATAAAGAGTATGGGGATCAAACACCAGAACATTTGATCCTTTCCTTACAGCTGTGAATGTTGCCTTTTAAAAAAAAAATCACATACTAAATTGTATATGTCTGAATTCCTTTGTTTCTGGACTTATTTTTTATTTACAGTGACTGGATATTTACTTTTGTTCCTCTGCCATACTGCTTTTTTTTTTTGCCACATCAAATCTTGGTTGTGACATGAAAGCTCAGTAGTGGTGGCACGCAGGCTTAGTTGCCCTTTGGCATGTGGGATCTTAGTTCCCCTGCCAAGGATTGAACCTGCATCCCCTGCATTGGAAAGCAGGTTCTTCAACCACTGGACCACCAGGGAAATACCTGCGGCACTGCTTTAGTGGTAGTTTTAAAAATTTATCAAAAGCAACGTGAGTGAGATGACAATTTGCTTGAAAATTACTATCCTAGACTTAAATATTTTTGAAAGTTGATGCATCATGGGAGATAGCCTTTATCTTTATTATAATATTAAAACTAAAAGCTTAGTAAATGTTCGCTTTTTATCAAGTCCTATGCTGAGCAGTTTATTTGTACTATCTAACTTGATAATTTAGCCCTTACATGCTTTATAATTCATCATGACTTATATATTTAAAATTTCCTACTTCCTAGTCTTCGATTCCTTTGTGTTTACCACTTCTAATTTTTTTTTCTTTCTTTCTTTCAAATTTCCCAACTGTTTTGCTCTTGTAATAATAGCACAGGAATTACTAGTTGAAAATAGATTAAAATGTAATTAAAAAATGGAAAAACTACATAGAAGAATACAGAATCATCATATATATGACCTTATATACATAACCTCAAGATGCAGTTTTGTTCTCATTATATTACTTGGAATGTTTTAAATTATAATATCCTTAAAAGATTTTATTACAGATTTTTAGGCATGCACTAAAGTAAAACTGATTTATGAGCTCTCATGTACCCACCATCTGTCTTTAATAAATATCAATACATTGCTGTTTCCAGTTGGTCTACTTCCTCTCCCTTCTCTTTCAAGGAAGTGGGTTACTGTTGTATTTTAATGCATATCTCAGATATGGTCTTACTAGAGTAGTCCAGTGTATATATTTAATAAGTCCTCTAAAAAGTCCTATGGTACTCAACAACTAATTTTTTTATTTATTTATTTTTTTATTTTTTTTTATCACAACCATAGTGTATCTTTTTTTTTTTTCTTTTACATGTATTCCCCATCCCGGTCCCCCCTCCCACCTCCCTCTCCACCCAATCCCTCTGGGTCTTCCCAGTGCACCAGGCCCGAGCACTTGTCTCATGCACCCAACCTGGGCTGGTGAACTGTTTCACCCTAGATAATATACGTGTTTCAATGCTGTTCTCTTGAAACATCCCACCCTCGCCTTCTCCCAGAGTCCACAAGTCTGTTCTATACATAGGAGTCTCTTTTTCTGTTTTGCACATAGGGTTATCGTTACCATCTTTCTAAATTCCATATATATGTGTTAGTATACTGTAATGGTCTTTATCTTTCTGGCTTACTTCGCTCTGTATAATGGGCTCCAGTTTCATCCATCTCATTAGAACTGATTCAAATGAATTCTTTTTAATGGCTGAGTAATATTCCATGGTGTATATGTACCACAGCTTCCTTATCCATTCGTCTGCTGATGGGCATCTAGGTTGCTTCCATGTCCTGGCTATTATAAACAGTGCTGCGATGAACATTGGGGTACACGTGTCTCTTTCAGATCTGGTTTCCTCATTGTGTATGCCCAGAAGTGGGATTGCTGGGTCATATGGCAGTTCTATTTCCAGCTTTTTAAGAAATCTCCACACTGTTTTCCATAGTGGCTGTACTAATTTGCATTCCCACCAACAGTGTAAGAGGGTTCCCTTTTCTCCACACCCTCTCCAGCATTTATTGCTTCAACAACTAATTCTTAATCTCATTGAATATCCAGTCCATGTTCAGTTTTCCATAATTGTGTCTAAATACAGTTGCCTTGTTCAAATCAAAATCTCAGAAGAACTACACATTGCATTTGGTTAATATGTCTTTTAAGTCTTTGCTTATTTATTTGGGTGCCATTTATTGAAGGAACTAGATCGATAGGCTTGTAGAATTTTCCGGAGTCTAGATTTGACTGGTTGTATTTTAGTGATGCTTATCTCATCCCTTCATCCCCGTTAGACAGTTAAATCTAGAGGTTTGGTAATGTTCGTGTTCATTGTTTTTGGTAAGGGTTCCTCTTAGGTCATGCTGTGTACTTCCTGTTGCATCTTATCAGGAGGCATATAATGGAGTTATCCATCATAGTATATAATATATGGAAAATCAGTCCTTGGATTTTAGGATCTCTCTTCTGCTGCCTTTCTTCTTTTAAAAACTATGATTTATTGTTTCAGTACATTAGTTTTGTCACTTGTATTCTTCCATATTCCTTTCATTAATAAAAGACTAATATATAGATTAAATTGTTTTATAGCTGAACCATAGGCTATGGAAAATTGCAGTTTATCTAAGTCCATAAACTTTCAGTTATATAGCCCAAAAGATGGCAAATTTTCCTTAAGAGTAATTTGAGTCACAGATAACTTTGAAAATACAGTGAAAATCGTGGACCCTCTTCCTGGAAAATATTCTTGTCTGCACAGATGAAATTTGACAGTTTCATTTCAAGAGGTTTAAAAATGCCCTCTGTCTTGCTCATTCATGAATTGCAGATAAAGACCTCCTACTTTGGTGTATTTTGTCATTCTTACTCTTTCCTCATACCTTGACTTATGCTTTCTTCTCATTTCTGTCATCCTAGCTATCCAAGATGATTTTGTTCATCTTGGATGAACAGTTTGAACTGACTCTTTTGTAATGAGTAAAATTTGGGGTGTATCTTGAACTTCTGTGCATCTCCATCAGATAACCCTGTGTCTAATACAGTTATGATCAAATTAAGTGCCTCATCTTTTAATCTAGTTTAGTTGATGTACCTGGATGTTCTCTCCCCTCTCCCCCATTTTTTTTGTTGAGGTTGTGTCATTGGGTAGATATCTGACTTCTCATGTTCTTCATTGTAGCAATCTGCAGAGCGCTGTGTGAGCACGTTGCTTGATCTCATCCAAACCAAAGTAAACTATGTGGTCCAAGAGGCGATTGTTGTCATCAGGGACATCTTCCGCAAATACCCCAACAAGTATGTCCAAATACTTCTGCCCCTTTTCCTCAGATCATTTAGGAAATGTTTAAGTAAGGCACTTTGAGATTGGCTAGTTAAGAATTATTTTGTCATAATTAAATGCTTTATTAAAAATCAAACATGTAAGTTGGTGAGCACAAGGATTAAAATCTGATTTTTACTGTTTCATCACTTTTAGAAGAATTGAAGCTCTGTCTGAATATGCATTGTCGATTGGCGTATTCTTAAAGTTAACCAGGTTCTTCGGTGATGAAGTTATTGTTAAATAGGATATTCATATATTCCAGGTTGTCTGGGCATAATCCATTTTATGCTCATCAAGTGTAATTAATAAATGTGCCCCCTTTCACTCTCAGAAACGTCTCAGTTTGAATAATATGGCCACCCTATTGTAAAATCCAGGAAGGTGACAGCTTCACTATTCACTTTGTATGTTACATAGTACTTTTAGAAAATTATAGAACATGTAATGACAAATTATCAGTTTTAGACCCTTTCTCAAGTATGGTAGCTGCTTCCATTAAGATACGCAAAATCTACATTTTCACTCCACAGAAAATTTTCATGTTGAGGTCTCTTAGTTTGTGAAACATATACTTTTTCAAATTTGCTTTTGAAGGCAAGCAATTAAAGAATCTGAAAGAGTGAAATAAGCAGGTTCAAGGGGGAGGGGATATATGTATAATTTAAGACTGATTTGCGTTATTGTATGGCAGAAATCATGACACTGTAATGCAGTTACCCTCCAATTTAAAAAAAGAGCAGATCATATAAGCATATCCTAAATGTCATTTTACCTTATAATCATAGAGATAGGTTGTGCTCAGGCTTCTGACTAATCTTTAAAGATCATGTGAAATGAAGTGACTTACAATTAAGTTAGTTTAATGGTTGACTCAAAATTAGTAGAAATATTTTAACAAGGTAGTGGTTTATTAAGTGTTTTATATATATATATTTTAATTCTAGAAATGGTATTTTTGGAAAAAGGATATGCTTTTACCTCTCTCTCAGGAAAGAGGGTTTGGGTTTCTAAGTTTCTTGATTAAGTGTGGATACCTTGTCCATGGTTTCGCTTTTAGCCTTCATTGTTAAATACAGTTCTCAGTTTTGCCCTCAGTAACCATAATCCGTTTTGTTACATCAGATACGAAAGTATCATTGCCACACTGTGTGAGAACTTAGATTCACTGGATGAGCCAGACGCTCGAGCAGCTATGATTTGGATTGTGGGAGAATATGCTGAAAGAATTGACAATGCTGATGAGTTACTAGAGAGCTTTCTGGAGGGTTTCCATGATGAAAGCACCCAAGTAAGTTCTCTTTTATACCTTATGAAATAGATATTTGGGGGAGGATTTCAGGAAAGGTTAAGGTTAGGCGGTTTTGTATATCTGAACTTAAATATATGTGTATATATAGAGAGAGTATGTATTATATATGTAGTGTGTATATGTGTGGTGTGTATATATGTATGTGTGTATATGTTCATTTTTCTCCCCAAGGGGGTGAGTGAGCTTTTTCAGTTGTGCTGACGTCTGTTGGAACAAGCCTGTTTAGCTTACACTAGTGGTTCTCAAACTTTAATGAGCTGTTAAGCACCTAAGCACTGCTATTTAACCTCTGTTAAAGCTACAGGTTGCTGGAACCCACACTAGAGCTTCTGACTCAGTAGGCCTGAGATGATTCATTTTTACAAGGTTCAGGGTGGTGATGCTTCTGCTGCTGCTGCTGTTCCAGAACCATGCTTTGACAAGCTACTGTCTAGAGCGATAGTTAATTATAATTTTCTGTCACCTAAAGATGATTCCCCATTACTGTTAGTAGTGGTTGTGGCTCGGTTACAGCTGGAGTTTTTGTCGGGGCGAAGGCTGACATGTGCATTTTGAAGAGAATCTTCCTTCCCACGTTCTATCTGTCTTCTACCAAAATTGAGAGACCTTTGAGTCAAAGGCCCAGAGAAGCAAATAAATTATTAAACCTTTTCCCCCTGGTGTTCATACTGACTGCAAATTGAAGTTCATATATGTGTTCTATCATAGTAATTTTAATAGGCCCTGACAGGGAACACATACAAGCCAGTAATTCCATGGTTCAGCAAGCCACTCTTAATTGACTGTGATCTGGCTTAATTCTATGATCTTGACTCTTGCCTCAGTATGATAAATGATTCTTCAATTCCCCAGAAGTTGTAGCTTTCGGTGGAAGTAAATAATAAGGAATTTGGTCAGGAACCAGTTTTATTGCCATCAGCATGTTCGCATGTACTTTAAGAAATATAGATGATTATTTGGGTCAGAAACAAACAGGCAGTTTTTGATGCTAAAAATGCAATTTGGAGATAGTTTTCAGTTGATGAAAACCTTTGACTGCTATTGTTGATATTGGTGGAGTTTTCCACCTTTGTCTCTTAATCAAAATCAGAAAGACCTCATAGTAAGTCAGTCATGTTTGGGGAAGCACCACTTTGGAATTAATGGTGTGGAATAATGCAGAATTCCTTTCACTTTATTAAATTTGTTTAGGTGCAGCTCACTCTGCTCACTGCCATAGTGAAGCTGTTTCTCAAGAAACCATCAGAAACACAGGAACTGGTACAGCAGGTCTTGAGTTTGGCAACACAGGTAAGAAATCTGGAAAAAGCATAGAGTTGATTTGTCTTGTTTTAAATTCTTGGAAATTGTAAAACTTCTTCCAAGAAGGTTCATTTGGGGAGGTTTTGAATGTAAAGAGTACAGTCTTTAGATTCTGTTAAAAAATTAGAAACAGTGCTCCTTTTACATATTCTGCTGAATTAGAACTGGTTGTATGGCTTTTAAATGAGTTGACTGACTTTTGTTTTAATGGTAATTCATGAAAATTGAACTTAGAGTAGACTCTTTAGTGTGAATGAAGGACATGCCTCTCTGAAAGTGACATTGAGTCTCACAGTACCTCCTTCTGGAGGGGCTTAATTTCAGCTTTCAGATGGAAGTACCCTGTAGAGATGGTAGATGCTTTGACAAAGATCTAATGTGTGCTGTTCTGCCTTTTAGATGGTTGGTTTCTCTGAAAGTAATTTTAAAGTGCTAAAGCTACTTCCTTAATTATTTAATATTTTTGGTCTTCGTAGGGAGAGTTCTTGTTTCAGGAATGTGGCCCTAAGCCCAGAAATTGAAGTAATTACTTTTTCTGATGTGACTAGTATAGTGATAATCAAACCATCATGATCCAGTGATGTTCTTAATTGGATTTGAGAACAGGCTGACTTTAGCAGACTGTTCAGATATTCAGTTTACCATTTCCTCTTTCATCTCTTTACAGTTGTATATTTCAAAATTTGAAACTCTTTTATAGTACTTTGCCTAGTTCTGAGGTGTCATCTTTCTTTATATTTTTATTTTTTACTCTTTGTTCTGGTGAGCTTTATTTCATATCAAAAACAAGCACAATTGGAGGATTATATATGGTAAATATTGTAATTAGTACAGTTGAGGTATATATCTTGTACACTGCTTGAATCTTAGTTCTCAGTTGAGACCACAAATGTGAACCTACAGTAGTTGCCAGTGCATTATCTGTTAAGTGATCAAAGCACATAATTTACTGCATATTAAATGCAAAGTTCTTCTTTCCTCTGACAGTATGTAATTTTAGAAATGCCAGGAATCCATTTTAAGGACAAGAGGTTCCATGGATAGATAAGGCTTTTGAATACTTAATGGAGTACTGTAAATCAGGCAACATTACCAAATAAGTTGTTTTTAGAATATACTACACAACTTTGAAAAAAATACAGCCAAGAAAACAGCTAGAGTCAGAGGCTATTTTCTGACACTTGATTCAAATACAGATGTTTCACAGTCGGTGAACTCAAACATGAAGAAGGCCTGAAGCTAAAAATTAAGATAATTTTCTTATCTGATTATTGATTCATATAAACATTATTGAGAATTATCTGCTTGATTATCTTTTAATGGAGCAGTTGACCAACAGTAATTGAGTTAAAGGATATTGTAAAATTCATTTCGCAGAAAACAGAGGTGTCTTGTCCCACCCCTTGTACCTCAGTTTTCTTCGTCTCTCCGACAAATAATCAGCATGCTGTTTTCCGAAGTCTCTAAGCTTTCACTTGACCCCATTGCAGTTAGTCTGAAGAAGCATTCATTTGATCATGTGGAGCCAAGGGCAGGCCATGGCTCACCGTCTGTCCATGAAAAGTGGATGGGAGGTTGTCCATCACTGATCAGGCATGTCTTGGTACTAAGGGCAGAAATTGGTCATCTTTTGAATCAAAGCAGTTAGGTTGGACACAGGAAGTCATTTTCCCATTAATGTATAATAGGTCATCTACAGGGGGCCATTTTGAATAGAAATTGCCACTTATTAATCATGTAGGGCTTATTACAGACACTGCAGGGTGACTGCCATTAAACTAGCGATGTGTTTGACTTCATCTTAGGGCCTTGAAGCTCATTTCTGCCTTTTGTTACAGGCTTTGGAGCCTCTCTGCTTTGTATAAAAGAAAGAGCTTTATATAAATTAACAAAATCCAAAGATGTCTGGTGTTTATTCTAGATGGTAAAATAGTAAACTTGACATTAACAATGTCTGTGTAATACTTGAGAAAACCTCCTAAACACTGAAAAAATTCACATTTATACAGTCTCTTAGCTTTCTTGGAAATAACATTTTCTTCAAGAATCATAGGATTTCTGTTTATTACAGTGTTTACTTGTATTCAAGTTTTAACTCTCCCTTGAGGGCTACATTTCAAAGCATCAGCAGTATTTGGCCCCTTGTGAAAGTTACCACAAGAAGTAGAAAAGAAAGAGAGAGAAAAGGTAGAGATGAGAGTGCTGGGTCACTCAGCACCTAGAATTACTCAGAAGGTAAGGGACTGTCTCAGCTCACATTGTGTGACCGATTCATTCCTCAGCCAGATTAAAGATGACTGTGTTTAGCTATGTGTGGGATACTCAGAATCATCTTAACTGCTGAGACTCCACTTGACATTCGTACCCATTGGAAATAGAGACATCTTTTGCAATTTATTCGTAAGAGCTCTTCAGAGGGTTTTTAACTTTTATGCATCTTCCTTTGCCTGAAGCAGAATAATTTCCATTATCATCAAGACAGTGGTTATTAATATTATCTATATTGAGCATTCTAGATTTCCTAGTCTAGACCCATGACCACCCATTTGTCTCTGTTAAGATGGAGTCAGAACAGTTTTCTAAAAAGACTTTTGGCCTTGGTCCTTTTCAGTCACCTCTGAATAGATAAGGCTAGTCTCACAATCAAGCGAGTGTCTTTGGTAAATTCCTTTGTGTTCACAAGTTCTGAACTCTGTCTTCATCTCCATTTTCTCTTAAATTCTCTGTATTTGTATTTTAACAGGCAGCATGGGAGAGCTGTATTTTAGATTCTTGTCAGAGTTCAGACTCACTCGTATTATTTACCTGAGATAAAGTGTTTGGGCGAATTCCCTGTGTTCTTACAGATGTTGGAATATACCACTGAATCAAGCCATATTAGTAGAGAGCTGGCGATCTAGTAAGGATTTGACCCTTATTAGAATTGTTTTTCGGAGAAGGCAATAGCACCCACTCCAGTACTTTTGCCTGAAATCTCCCATGGATAGAGGAGCCTGGTAGGCAGCAGTCCATGGAGTCGTGAAGAGTTGGACATGACTGAGCGACTTCACTTTCACTTTCATGCATTGGAGAAGGAAATGGCAACCCACTCCAGTATTCTTGCCTGGAGAATCCCAGGGACGGGGGAGCCTGGTGGGCTGCCGTCTATGGGGTCGCACAGAGTCGGACACGACTGAAGTGACTTAGCAGCAGCAGTAGCAACAGAATTATTTTTACTGAATTACATTGGTATCATCATCCTGTAGTAAAGGTTGTACATGAGAAGCTATCCTGTTTGGGTTTGTTATCAAAGTAATTATTTATTTAATCATATATTTTCTTCTCTTGGAGACCGTGTAAAAAATTCCTAACCAGTTTTGGGTTCCCTTATGCGTAAGTATGTAGCTAACTGCCCCTCTGAATGATTTTTCTGACTTGATTTCTTTCTCATATCAGATGTTTGAAACCTCTGTCCATGGGATTCTCTAAGTAAGAATACCGGAGCAGGTTGTCATTTCCTTCTCCAGGGGATCTTCCTGACCTAGGGATCAAACCCTTGTCTCTTGTGTCTCCTGCATTGGCAGATGGGTTCTTTACCACCGCGCCTCTATCTTCATAGTAGACTTAATCCTGTTGTTTCTCTGTGCTGAGGATTCAGGAAAGTATGTGTGAAATCTTTGTGCTTCTAATTTTAAGTAAAATGGTGGTATAATTAGAAATACTGTTGGTTACAAAAAAAGAACAACCCATGAATCCATGCCTTTAATAAGATGTCTTTTTCACTTTGGTGGTTTTAAAGGAAATAGTAAAGAATACACAGAAAAGCGTCAAAACTTCAGTAATTACCTTCTTTAGTACATGGAAAGAAGTCTTCACCTTGGTATTTCCATCTGTGAACTAGAGACTACCATCATCAAAATCACCTGTGCTGCCTGTTGAAAATAAAAATTCCTGGGCTCCCCTTCTGACATAATGAATCAGAAACTCTGGTTTAGTCCTGGAATCTGCACTTTAGATGGCTTTCTTGGTGTGTTAAAATGTTGACACATGTTACAATTTTAGGAATGACTGTTTTAGCCTGGTAAGAATTGTTTTGGAAGCTCTCAAATTTTGGGCAATACATTATTTTCTCGAGATCCTTACGAGGGCCTATCAGACTAGCAGTACAGTGGATCCCCAACAAAATTTTCTGAGTTGCCCAACACATAATGGCACACTGTAAAATCATAAAAGGTTCTGGTTCTTTGTCATTAGCCTTGACTGGGCCTGATTTATCGTGACTTCCATGTGAATAGCGAGGCAGTGAAGGCCGGCTCATAGTAGGCCTATCAGATCAGCCCTCAGGATAACCGAGTTTGGACAGTGGAAGTCCTTGTCCACTCTTGACTTCTGGTCATGAAAAACTTGGACTCATTTTCTCATTTCTCATAGGACTAAATTTTTAAGTCAGTGTACCCCCTTTAATCCATTGATTCTATCTCTAGAAATTTATCCTATTGTAGTGTTTCAAATTTGTGGGGGGACTCAAGCTTTTTTCATAGAAGTATGTATTTTGTGAATCTCAACAGGAATTTTTTTTTTTTTTTTGCTATTTGGTTAAATATGTAGCTGATATATGAGAAGAATAATTTGAAGTAAAAAAAGTTTACTTTGATTGTATTATTAAGTTGTGTTGTAGAGTTTATTTTAATATGTTTAACAGCTTACTAGACAAATTAATATTTTCCCAGTTAAGTGATGTGTAGTATTCATTTTCATTGTGTAATAAAAACATAACTAGTCGCCAGATTTTAAATGACACGCTTTGGGGACTGAGTGTATAGATTAAAACTTTTAATTTAAATATCAATAAAAGCTGGGATGGGGATTGCTTTCCTGATGAGATACTTGGAGAAACTTGTATTCTACTCTTTAAAAAAAAAAATCAACTTATGTTTTATAATATTTAAGTTTTGTTTCTAAATGAAAATCTAAGGAGGTTTCAGTCAACTATTTATAAGCACTTCCTCAGGAGCGAACGTCCTGCTTCAACATGCAGCAAAGCAAATGCATCTAATTTGGATATTACCAGTTTTTTTTTAAATGGCATTTCAGATACTACAAATAGTTTGATATAAGTAATGCATATATATGTGCAGTTCTTTTAGAATAATGCAACCTGTGAATATGATAAAGATTATCTGAGATAAAATTTACCATTTTTATGCTGTATTAGCTTGTATCAGTTTTTTTTATACTTAAAAAAAAATTTTTTTTCTTTATACTTTTTTTTTTAACCAGCAGTCCATTTTTGAGTGCCAGTAAAACAATATATGATTAAGAAAATACATGTAAAGCAGTCTGGGTCACTTCTGGTATTGAGCTGAATGCTCAATACCAAGTGCATTAAGTGGCTAAATTATGAACCAGTTCATCTGCTTATGTACAGACTCATGGGAAAACCCTGGCCTACTTTAAAGAAATACTTTTGTATGTGTGTTTTACATACAGAAATTGAAATGGGACTGATTGTTGCCTTTAATAACATAATACCACTGAAACAATTCATGGGTAGATGAATGTCACCATATAGACAGACTCTTGAAGGTAGATACCAGGATATTTACTGCCACTTTGTAATGACCACAAAACTGAATAGTATAAAGGAGGGAGAAAGAGGCAGCAATCTCAATGTTCATCAGTAGGACACTAGTAAACAGTGATGCAGTGCTGTGTATATAGTGGGAAAACAACAGCTGTGTGTGCCACTGTGGAAAGAGACGTGAGGAACAGTATAGGATGAAACTGGTTTTGTGTGAAATGAATACATGTGTGTGTGTGAGCTCATAGTGCACTGTTCATGTGGATGGGTACTTGGAGGATGGGGAAGGGCTGGGTGACCGGGGGAGATTTATTTTTATATTATTCATTTCTAAATTGTGATGTGGCATTGATAATAAATTTTCCTTAGCCGCAATCATGTATAAAATTATTTTAACCACCACACAAAGAAATGAGGTCACTAAGTTCGTCACCCTTTTTAGAAGCACTTAGTTTTATAGGCTCTCTTAAACAGTTTTTTTTATTATTTAGATAATAGCGCCTCTCATATTTTAATAAATAATGTTCTTTGAGCTCTTTGAAGTCAGGCCCCATGTGTTGTCTGTATTGCCAGGGCCTAGCCAGTGTCTCCATGGGAGATACTTAATATTTGAATAAAGAAAGAAGGTATGGGTGAAATATATGTCAGATGCGTTTCATGAATACTTCTGCTAATATTTATAGCAGTTAAAAATTTTTATGTCCCAAGGCCATTTGAAGCAATTGATTTTTCTTGGGTTAAACTTTATTTTCTTCTTCCCAACTTCCTTTCTGAATTTGAGTCTTAGAACTAACCTCAGCTTATATTTAAATTCTTTGAAACATTAGAGATTTCAGAATTATGAGTATATTAACAACATTGAGTCTAAATATCTTCTAACAGCCAACCCTGCATAAACTGCTACAGCATTACCTTAATAATAAATCAGCAGTTTGAGTTTCTATATGGAAAAGAGTTACCTTTAAACCTTCTTGTGTTTGCCTTTTCATTAGGATTCTGATAATCCTGACCTTCGAGACCGGGGTTATATTTATTGGCGCCTTCTCTCAACTGATCCTGTCACAGCTAAAGAAGTAGTCTTGTCTGAAAAGCCACTGATTTCTGAGGAGACAGATCTTATTGAGCCAACTCTGCTGGATGAGCTAATCTGCCACATTGGTTCTTTGGCCTCAGTGTACCATAAGCCGCCCAATGCTTTTGTGGAAGGAAGTCACGGAATCCATCGCAAACACTTGCCAATACATCATGGGAGGTAAGCAGGTAAACTTGGTTTGATTGAGAAGTGATTCTTTGTATAGATGAAGTTGGTCAGTCTTAAGCTTTGCTATGCATTTGGCAAGCCTATTCTGCTGCCTTGGGGGCTTCATCTGAATTCTAGTGACTACACACGTAATGGAAAAAAGACCTTTTTGAGTTCTAATCTCAGGGTTGGTAAGATTATGCCTTTAGAAAAGTGTGGTAAAAACTTTCTGAATGGAAAAAGTTTGAAAGTTGCTTAAGACTATAAAAGATGCAGCTAGAAATTTTCCCATATTTAAAAACTTGGTAAAAAAAATATACAGGCATACCATAGAGATTTTGGACTTTGGATCCAGAACACTGCAATAAAGCAGGTCACAAATTTTTGTTATTTCTGAGTGCATACAAAAGTTACGTCTGCTCTATAGTGTAGTCTATTAAATGTGCAATAGTATGACGTCTTTAAAAAAAGTCTTTTGTTGTTTGGTCACTAAGTCGTGTCTGACTCTTTGCGACCCTGTGGACTGCAGCACCCTGGGTTTCCCTGCCCTTCACTGTCTCCTGGAGCTTGCTCAAACGCATGTCCATTGAGTCGGTGGTGCCATCCAGTCCTCTCATCCTCTGTCATTCCTTCTCCTCCTGCCCTCAGTCTTCCCCAGCATCAGGGTCTTTTCCAGTGAGTTGACTTTGTGCCTCCGGTGGCCAAATACTGGATCTTCAGCTTCAGCAACAGTCCTTCCAGTGAATATTCAGAGTTGATTTCCTTTAGGATTGACTGGTTTGATCTCCTTGCAGTCCAAGGGACTCTCAAGAGTTTTCACCAGCACAATAGTTCAAAAGCATCAATTCTTCAGCAGTCAGCCTGCTTTATGGTCTAACTCGCTCATCCACGCATGACTACTGGAAAAGCCATAGTTTTGACTATATGGACCTTTGTTGTCAAAGTGATGTCTCTACTTTTTAATACACTGTCTCAGTTTGTTGTAGCTTTCCTTCCAAGGAGCAAGCATCTTTTAATTTTATGGCTACAGTCACTGTCCACAGTGATTTTGGAGCCCAAGAAGATAAAATCTGCCACTCTTTGCATTTATTCCCCAACTATTTGCCATGAAGTGATGGAACCAGATGCCATGATCTTAGTTTTTTGAATGTTGAATTTTAAGCCAGCTCTTTCAGCTTCATCAAGAGGCTCTTTAGTTCCTTTTCACTTTCTGCCATTAGAGTGGTGTCATCTGCCTATCTGAGGTTGTTGATGTTTCTCCTGGCAATCTTGATTCCAGCTTATGCTTCATCCAGCCTGGCATTTCACATGATGTACTCTGCATATAAATGAAGTAAGCAGGGTGACAGTAAACAGCCTTGATGTACTCCTTTCCCAATCTGGAACCAGTCTGTTGTTCCATGTCCATTTCTAACTGTTGCTTCTTGATCCACATACAGCTTTCTCAGGAGGCTGGTAAGGTGGTCTGGTATTCTCATCTCTCTTAAGACTCTTCCACAGTTTAATGTGTTCCACATAGTCAAAGACTTATGTGTAGTCAGTGAAGCAGAAGTAGATAGTTTTCTAGAATTCCCTTGCTTTCTCTATGATCCAGTGAATATTGGCAATTTGATCTCTGGTTCCTCTGCCTTTTCTAAACCCAGCTTGTACATCTGGCAGTTCTTGCTTCACATACTGCTAAAGGCTAGCTTGAAGGATTTTGAGCATAACCTTACTAGCATGCAAAATGAGCACAACTGTGCCATAGTTTGAACGTTCTTTGGCACTGCCCTTCTTTGAGATTGGAATGAAAACTAACCTTTTCCAGTCCTGTGGCCACAGCTGAGTTTTCCAAATTTGCTGACATATTGAGTGCAGTTCTTTAATAGCATCATCTTTTAGAATTTTAAATAGCTCAACTGGGTTACCACTGATATATTACAAGACTTTACAGTTTATACCATGTTTTCATTTGGACCTTCCCTGGTAGTTCAGCTGGTAAAGAAACCACTGGCAATGCAAGAAACCCTGGTTCGATTCCCTGGTCAGGAAGATCTCCTGGAGAAGGGATGGGCTACCCACTCCAGTATTCTTGGGTTTCCCTGGTGGTTCAGCTAGTAAAGAATCCACCTGCAATGTAGGAGACCTGGGTTCGACCCCTGGGTTGAGAAGATCCCACTACCTACTCCAGTATTCTGGCCTGGAGAAATACATGGACTATATAGTCCATGGGGTGGCAAAGAGTTGGACAGGACTAAGTGACTTTCACTCACTTCATTTGATCCTTCCTAAAATAGAGTGCTTTGTTTTGTTATCATTTTATTGGTGAGGAAGCTTTGTCTCAGAGAGGTGGTCACTTGCCCAAAACAATGCATGCAACTAGTTATTAGTGGAGCCAAAGCTTGGTCCTGGTCACCTTACTCTGATCGCCCCATTCTTACCACAACACCCCCAGTGTTACTCTGCTTATTTCACTGGAAGTGTGTGCATGAATTTCTTGCCAGGTTTACTTCTGTAACTGACTGCCAGTTCCTTGGCCTTAGCTATCTATTGGACGTCCCTGTTTGTTTTTCTTCCTTGAAATTTGAACAGAATTGAAAGCAACATGTAATTTTCCCTGTTATCCCTCCAGGTTCCTCTTATAAGGAGCATCACTAGTCTTTTGCTTCTTTGCTTTTGTTTGTTTTTTTTTTCTGAGTTTGATTCTTCATTCTTCTTTGTTCAAGCATTGTCAAAACATAACTAGGAAGAGGGGATATATGTAAACACACAGCGGATTCATTTTGCCTCTACAGCAGAAACTAACACAACATGGTAAAGCAACTTTACGCCAATAAAAAAGAATTAAAAAAAACCTACCTAGGGTTTTTAGAGAAAGCGGTCGTTTATTAATGGGATTTTTACAGAATCTTTTTTGTTTGTTTTTAAAAATTTACTTTATGTCTTAGAAAACATGCAAGATAGATGGTTAAAACATAATCATCACTCAGCTTCAACAGTCGTCAGTATTTTGCCAATCTTATTTCATTTATCACCCCCACAATTTTTCTTTTTTAGGGAACTGAAGTATGTTAAATTTCAGACTTCATATCACTTCATTCATAAGTACTTTAATTGGTATCTCTAAAAAATAAGCAGTTTTTTAAAGGATCATAATATATCATCAAGCTGAATTTAGGAATAATTCCTTAATAGTCAAAACTGAACTTCTTTCAGATTTTTTCAATTGCCATTCTCTATTCTATTTTACTAAAGTTTATCTAAAATTGGTTTTACTTTTTGCATAAATGTTTGGAATACTTCACAGTGAAGCCAACTGAGTTGGAGATTTTCTTTTGAGATTTTTTTTTTCTTTTTTTTCACTTGGTAGGATTTAGGGGAAGTGAAGACAAAGAATATACAACTCTGAAAACAGATCTAGAACATTACTCTAGCGGGTGTGTGTATAGTGGACTGAAGTTGGGAGAGTGGACATGAAGATGAGCTAAGAGTAATCAATTTAACTGCTACTGCCACCACACTGTAAAAAAGAGAATAATGAGTTCTAAGACATGTTAAAAGAACTAGTCCTTTCTTAAAACTCAATATTCCCTTTTTAAACAATTACTCTTAGCTCATCTTCATATCCATTCTCCCAACTTCAGTCCACTGTACACACAGCTGCTAGAATAATGTTCCTCTAAATGTTATTTTTAATTTTGTTCAACAAATAAAAGTGATTCTCCATTGCCTATCATATAAAAATTAACTCTCCAGACCTGTTTTCAGAGTTGTACTTTTCTCATCTTCATTTCCCCTAAATCTTGTAAATTACAGTGTCTGCTCCTACCAATATAATTTTTTCACTGGCCCTAAAAGTCAAACTGTTTATTTCTATGCCTTTGCACAAACTGTCCCTTCATTTTTGGAAGGTCTCTCCCTGGTAGTTCCTTATAACTATACTATTCTTGAAAATCTAGCCCTAAAACCATCCTCAGAAGCTTTTGGGAATCAGCCCCTCCTGGTTCTGAGAAGCCCCACCTGCTTATCATCTGTAGTCTTGTCATTGTGCCAGACATACAATACTCATTTCTGCTGTTACACAGTGAATGTGCTTTTCACTTGTTTTGTCAGTACTGGTTTTAGGGTTGGTTGGTTTGAGTGTAAGTTATTTGAAGACAGGAAATATATTTCCCTATTTTTTTTACATACTTCACCAGAGTTCTCATTACAGTGTTCCCTTATAGAGTAGGTGCTCAATTAAAATTGATTGATGAGGTCGTTGTATATATAGTATAATATAAAATTGATTGAAAGAGTTATATTGTATAAGAACATATGACATTGACTTGTTGCCTTGTTACCAAGTCCCTGCTAAAACTGAATTTTCTCTGTTCCCCTCTTCCTGTTTGTACCTTGCAGCACGGATGCGGGTGACAGCCCTGTTGGCACCACCACTGCCACCAACCTGGAGCAGCCTCAGGTTATTCCCTCCCAAGGTGACCTTCTGGGGGATCTTTTAAACCTTGACCTTGGTCCCCCAGTCAATGTGCCACAGGTATCTTCCATGCAGATGGGAGCAGTGGATCTCTTGGGAGGAGGACTAGATAGTCTGGTAAGCATCTTTCTTCTTTCTTTTGGTTCTTTTAAATTCTTTTTGTTTTTAAATTTTGAGAGTTATTTTTAATTCTTGATATGCTGAAGAACGTTTAATCTTTCACCTTTTTAGAACTATATGACAAGCAGAGCAATGTCCTTTGATAAAGGACAGGATTATGTGGTGTCTCTAGAAAGTTAAATGGTACTGTTACCATTGGTGTGGGGAGTGTTTGCCTGTGTACAGGATCATTTGGTTGTCCTGCCTTTGAAAAGAACTTATGGTGTTTAACCAACCTAGTTGCCTTTCCAGAGCTTATTTTTGCTCCTGCTGCTTAACTCTGGATAGCTGCTGTAATTCCCCTTTTGACCTGAACATCATTTAAATGATCTCATAGTGATCATCCTATTTTGAGGCTTTCAAGCTTTTGCCTTTTTTTATTTCAATATTTTATTGGCTTATACCTTATCTAATTCTGAAAGATTCTGAGGCAGACATTTGAGCTATTTGTGGTGGTTTTTTTTTTAATGTATCTTTCTTACAGTTGGAAAGTACTTCTTGATTGGTTCTTTTTTCCTCTTCTCCATCCACATCTCCGACTCCACACTGTCATACTTCCAATTTAATTAGCTTCCAGGATTCTAATACTAAAAGGCTCCAAAGTCCAAAGTGTCTGTGAACATGTGCCAGTTAGTTACTGTTGCTGTGCAGGGTACATGAGAAACATAAGGATGACCTTCCATCCGGGTAGAGGGGCCAGGGAAATAAGAGGGATTATCACTTGGCTCCCCACAAATTAGATACTTAATTGTGGTGGAATTAGAGAAGCTTTTTTAGCAGGACACTTGCAAATAAGATATTTGTCAACCTGATGACTATATATATGCCCAACAAACTGATTTATTTCCCAGCATTAGAAATTGAAAGGCAGTGCCTTAGATACAAAAATATGATGTCCTCAGAGATTACATAAACAAAACAACCTTCCTTTCTGCTTCATACACTGGCATTTTCTCTTCTACTTTATGAACTGTGTTGTTATGTTTGGGATTTATACCAGCCAGTACATGTGCATTTACTTTTGGCTGACAGAGAGTCTAAGGAGATAGGGTTACCATCATATCTCTCTGGATGATACATTTTACTAATGGAAAATCACTGCTTCCAGTGACCAAGCTCTGGACTGTAGCTAATGGTGGCACAGATGAGCATTCCTTTTGTCTTTCTTGGGAATATAAGCATTGCTTTTCATATTCAGATCTCTTTAATGAACAGAGTTGACTGAATGGCTTCCTTATGTGATATCCTGCATTGCTGTGTAGCCTCCTTTCTAGACTCAGGAGACTGACAAATGAATATTGAAATATTCATGCAGACTCCCAGAAATCCCTTCTAAGCATTGAAACATTCTGTTGACGTATGAACTGCAAGTTAAATATTAAATCCTCCTCACGTTTATGCCTTAACAACCCTGCTTATTTCTCTAGAAGTTTACATCATGGTGGACTCGTTGAACCTAAGAAGACAAATTAAATTTGAAGGATGGAGGGAATAAAGAGGCTCTGTATTTCGATGAAGCCTGGCCCAGGATTCTGTCCTCTTGTTTCTTGACCCACTTTAGCATGGAAGGAAAGGGAATATTATTTCCATTTGGCTTGGTATCTTAACTCTTTTTTTTTTTTTTTTAATCTTAACTCTTTTTATCTTAGCTCTTGCTGGTCTTTAACACCAGTGAGTTTTTTCCTTTTATTTTATGCAGCCAATCCAGTCATCTCTTAGAGTTCTGGAAAGTTTACATCAGGAAGAAAATTGATTAGAACTTTCTTAGATTGTAGTAGACTGTCACATGTGGGCTTTCTCTTGTTTTGTTTTGCAAAGGATATTCTCTTTGGGGCAGAGAATAAACTGTTTTTATAATTGGATGTCTAAATATTATATAGGGGTTGCTGTGTAAGCCCAGTAATGCTCCTGTAACTCTAAATTTTAGCTTATTCTGACTTTGAGATTTAAAATGGCATACTTGGTGTTATAGCCCCAGAAAGTGTTTACATGCAGGTTTCTTCAGCTTATTCTGTGATACAGATATATCCCAGAAATCAGAATGAGGAGGAAAAGCCTTTCTTTTTGCTTTGAATCTGTCTGCAGTTAAATATATATTCACTCAAAGAACCAAGATTACTTTTAAGAGAACATCACAAGGAAGAGACCTAAATCTGGCTGTGTGAAAGAACGAGTTTCTCTGGCAGCAGTAGTTTGTGCCATTTTTAAAAAGCTTTTATTGTTCTTGCGTAAATTATCTAATTTAAAGACGAAAATAGTTCTCAGGGTTTTTACTTAACCTATACAGATAGTGCTGTTTCTTGAATGAATGTTACCTTTTAACAGTGCTCCTCAAATTAACGTGTACATACATTAAATGGAGATCTTGAACAAGACAGTTGTGTTGGTCTGGGGTATGACCTAGGAGTCTCCTTTTCTAACAAACACCCATGTCTGCGGACAACATTTTGCATCGCAAAGACGTGGAATATCTGTAATCACTGTGAAGCACTTCATTTTGGTGTTGGAATAGCTATTGATAAACCTCCGTGCCTGTTTCTCCTGACTTCAGTATTAAACACAGTCCTGGAAAGACGGCTCCTACTCTGCCTCACATTGAGGGAGGGCTTGAAACTCTTGAAATTATTTTGTTAAAAGTCTGTCTTTTATTCTCTAGGAAGAAGAATGTTGCTAGGTATGGTAGAATTTGACCCAGGTCCCCATTTAAAATGTAGCCTGGATCAGAGTTTAATATGTGGTTGTCTGGCAAGCAGCGCTCAGGTTATGTCGTCAGTGTTCGTCTCAGAAAGGCTCTCGGCAAGGCTTCTGCTTGCTTTTATCATTGGTTTCTAACAGAACCTTACCATAGAGGTCAGTGGTGTGCTGCTAAGGAAGCGTGGCAGCTCCTTAGCTTTTATTCCAAGCTTTGTGTTCTCAACTCTAGCTGCATAATTGGTATTTAAAAAATACATACACTGGCAGTGTTTGTACCTAGCTCCAGAACAATTAAACAGGATTTCTGAGAGATAGGACCCTGTTGTTCAGTCGCTCGGCTGTGTCTGACTCTTTGCAACCCCATGGACTGCAGCACTCCAGACTTCCCTGTCCTTGACCATCTCCCGGAACTTGCTCAAACTCATGTTCATTGAAGTCAGTGATACCATCCAACAATCTTGTCCTCTGTTGTCCACTTCTCTTCGATGTTGGGTTTTTTTTTTTTTAATATCCAGGCTATTTTAATTTTGCAGCCAAGACTGAGAATATTGAGCCAGGTGAAGTTCCAGATGAAGTTAGGTAGAGAGTTAAAAAATTTGTCTTTAAGCCAAGACAGTGATTTCCACAGAGTTATATTCTGGTAAGTCTTGGTACCTCCTACAGAATAGTCCTCTCTGAATTTACCTTTGTTCTGTCCCTCCCCACCTCACCCCTTACCCCCAACTCTGGGGCATTTTCTTGCTGTGATTTGCTGTTAGGTGATCCAGCCTATCAGAAATTGGCCAAAGGTTGAATTTGACCAATTTAGATTTAGTTGCTTATTCCCAGGGTTCTTTTACCCTTGCTCATGGTCCATAATTAGACACTGAAAATTGTCTTGTATTTTAGATTATCTATCCATTTTCTGTTCCTTCATCTTAAAACTTGAAATTCACTAGAGGATTGTATTATTCTTCCATTTTCATATCTTGGTGAACCTCCCATTAGATTTTATTTGCCCTCTTTCATCATCACATTTACAGAATTTTGAGATTTAGTGAATTGTGACTTTTCTAGAGCTGTCATTCAGGAAATACTTGTCAATTAATTCATTCATTATTATTATTTATTACAACCTATCTGAAGGCTCCAGCCTTCATCCATCAATAATAGTGACTCATATAACAACTGCTATTCTTAAACCAGAGTGAGGTAGGTATGTAGCTGTGACATAAAAGAAACACACACGTGCACACCATTCCTCCCAAGTGATTCTTAACATGGTGTTTTTTTGTGTTGTTTGGCTTGTTTTCTTGGGTGTTTTTTTGGTTGTTTGTTTTTTCTTTTTTTTTTAGAGGTAGGTCTTTGAAAACCATTGAGTTTCCCTGGTAGCTCAGCTGGTAAAGAATCCACCTGCAATGCAGGAGACCTGGGTTCAATCCCTGGGTTGAGAAGATCCCCTGAAGAAGGGAAAGGCTACCCATTCCAGTATTCTGGCCTGGAGAATTCCATGGACTGTATAGTCCATGGGGTTTCATAGAGTCAGACACAACTGAGCGACTTTCACTTCACTTTACCTTTGAAAATCATTGATGTGGACAGAGCTTCAGATTTTTAAAAATGTTTCTGTATCACTGGACTTAAATAAAAATGGATTTCTGATATACTCTTCCCTTTCCTCCTTAGTTTTTTCTTGTCCTTTAGCATATTCTCTTTTGCTTAAAACATAGTTTCCTTCTGTTGATATAAACTAAACTGTCTGCTTGATGTGGAATAAATTTCAGTTAATGAAACTTATGAGGTTGATCTGTTCTATGTGTAGAGCAGTGTAGTATACTATTTCAATGTTATCGGGGGTTTTGCTTCTTTGTTTGAGAAGCTGTATGGGTGTCTTTTGATGCCCCAGCTACCGAATCTGAGAAACTGCTCATCCTGGGTAGTGTAGCTTTTCTGACAGCGCAGACCCTTCTGGTTTGGTGTAGTATGGGAGGTGACCTGGCACCCATGTGTGTAAACCTTGCATACACGTTACACGGATACAGCATGTGCTGGTGAGTGTGATCTCTCTAAGGAGCACTGAGGTGATAATTGAATCTTGATTATTTGTTTCCATTATTTTCAGACTGTCAGCAGAGACCTTGGCTAAATTATGGCCGCCTTTTTATCCAAGGTGCTGTGTGTTACTCTGTTTAGAAAAATGGTGCTATTGTATATCAAGAATGGAAAGGAAACATTATCCAGAGTGCCCCTTCTCTGTGCTGACAGAGGGTTTCCTGCCAGAGAAA